AAAAAGCGAGTGGGTTCAGGAAGACAAGATAATCAAAGCAGCAAAAAATCAAAACAGACTTACTTCGACAAGCCTTGCTCCATGCCGCAGCCCAACTTGATGCGCCAAACCTGATGTTTCGACTTGAGTGACAACACCATCAGGCTGAACATGGAAGCCCAACTGACCCTGAGGGTTCCTGCGCAGAGTCAATTCCTGCGCTGGTGATCCTGGAGTGACAGAACGCAATCTAACAACGACCTCCATCAGTTCGTCTCGATCTCCTCCTTCTCTCATGTGAACAGTCGTACATTCTCCTTGGTGGTAGTAGATTCGCAGGCTAGATGAAGAAGAAGAAGAATAGGTAATCAATGAGCAGAATTAATAAAAAAGCCTAGTGCTTATTCAACAGAGAAATCTTTAGTCTCTTCAACATTGAGTGAAAAAAGCACATTACAGAAAAATCTTCACGATTTGTCTGAAAACATAATTATATTAATGGACAGATTGCGGTTAGATGTACGAGTTGTTTATACAGGGTGTTGGTGATTTTGCCAATGTGCGTTCAAATTCAGTCTGGAACTGATGTCACATTCAAGCGCAGAAAAGCTCATCCGAGCTCAATTTTCCATCAAGAGGGACATCAGTTGTAGACTGAATGTGGCAAAATCGCCATCATTACTGTTAGTTTGATTTACGAGCTTTTTGCCAACACAAACTATGATGTAAAAAAGTAATTTTTACAACTATCTACTTTGTTCTTCGTGAAATTCTAGAAGGATTAGGCACATTCTAAGAAAAATCGAGCCAATTTGCAGGGTTTGAAGACTAATTTCTGCTTAAAAATCGGAGAAAAGGGCTGGATCATTGAATTGGCTTCACCTGTTTGGGTGACAATCAGTGTGATAAGGGCTGAGAGCTCAAGAGGAGAGAGAAAACTTTCAGAAGAGTTAGAATGGCAGTTTAAAGGGTGGCATCTTTAAGTTTCTCATGCTAAGGATTTCAGTTTCAACGCTACTAAATGTACAATTACACATAATATGAAACAGCAAAATTGTAGAGTTTTGCTGACAGATAAATGGTCACAGTTGACGAAACATGTATAAGAGAGATATTTTAGCCCAATAAAAGGAACTGGACTGAAGTTATTCAATTTTAATCTGAATTCACTATACCACGACTTAGTTGATTTTTTTCCTTTCAGTTTTATAAATATTTTCATTGATTTTCATTATTTTGAACTTTAGAAGTTCGCTTTTTAGGGTGTTTTTCTTTTTTTCTTTTTCTTTTTTAAATTTAAGAAAAATTTTGATTGACCTGAACATATACCTGTTGCTCTGCGAGGCCCAGCCAAGAATGGATTTACATGGTGTCACGAAAACGATGTCACGAGTCTGCGTTTCAACCAGCACAAGTGAGTCAGCAGATATGGCCAGAATGCATTGTACCGTTGTATCTCGTCCACTATCCGAGAGTGTTACCACCCAGCATAGAGCACCACTCACCCATCCATCTGGCACAATTCTGGGCCTCCAGCGTTCACGCTTGCGACTACTAAATAAAGGCATAGCTGGAAGAAAGAGAAATTAAACCTTGGCTTCAAATTAACGAAAACAAAAGTGGTTCCTAAAGCAGTAAAAAAATCTTGTACACAAA